TTTCCTAGGCTGCCGTGACCCAAACCAGCCTCCTGTCCTTGCTTTATCTCACTACAGGAACACTGGCCAGGCCTATTATCTCCAGCTTGGGATCTTGTCGAAACTGTTTTGCTAACACTGGGCTTTCTGCCTGTACACTCTTCCCCACGTCTGCTGGAGAGAGTTACGGACAGTCTGGAATTCCTGCAGTCACGGACAGCACTTGTTCGCCGAGCGGCGCCGGGGGACGCTGGAAGGTGCCGAGAGCTCCTTCTCACCATCACGGGGGGCTGCCTGCCACGCTCAGTGGTTACCAGACTTGCCAATTCTCAGCTCTGCACTGAACTGTGTGCCAGCTCAGGGCACGCACCGGCACTGCCAAACGCCGCCGTTGTGAGCGCCCGCCCACCCCCAGCCTGCTGACGGCGGTCAGCACGGAGGGTAAGGGGCCGTGGTTACTGACCACCTGCCGGGCTATGCTGCCCCATACGTAGCGCAGGCGGGTGTAAAACCACCCCGGAGGTGCAAGACCTTCAACCTTAAGGTCAGGATTCTCACTGTAACAAAGCATATTCCATAAATCCCAATAACTAACATGCTGGGAGAGAGCAGTCTGCTTAGTTCTCGTTCTCCTCAGCCGTTCAGATACACCAAATCAGACTAGAGAAAGGCAGCCAAGCCCTTGTGTGTCCCCAACACGTGCAGCTGCTCTCTTTGGAACCACCGACCTGCAGGAATTGGTTATTTGCAGCTAAAACAAGGCAACTTTGGCGTGAAAGTTCCGACAGAGGAGAGGGGACTCCCGAGGAAAGCACACGCTTAGGAAGGAAGGAGCCGAACCTGGTGCGGCCCATTCGGAGTACTTCTCCATCACTTTCATGATTTCTGCACCGTACTTTTCCAGCTTGTCTTCCGTGACGCCATCAATCTGCAGTAAAACCTCCACGTCGGAGGACAGCGTTTCTGTAAGGTGACAAAGCGCCTTCAGACACAACGAACGAGCCCGAGGCAGAGCGCTCGGGAGGAAATACAGCCCTGTGCGAAGCCCCTGTGGAAGGGGCAGCACCCAGATCCGGCTGGTGGGCACCCAAGCGGCACGCTCTCCCCCTGACAACCCTGCGGTTGCTCCTGTACCCCCACGGGACTGCCGGCACGCAGTCCGCAGCTCCTTCCGCAGGGCTCGCGCGGCCCCGCACACGGTAGGTCCCCGCACATGGTAGGGGCGGCCGATTGTCAGCCAAGGCTGCAGTTGTGCCCACAGCCAACCCACGCCCCGTGCAGGGAAAAGCCGCTACCTGCTATTTTCTTCAGCGTTGAAGTACTGAAAATGTTGAAGTAGTGCACGTCGAAGACCTTCCCGAGTGTTTTGCAGATGTCAGTGAGTTCCCCGAGGCACTTCCTGACCATCTCTTCCCGCTGGGACATTTTTCCCACGGAAGCCCTCTGCTTTCGGATGGCGCTGGCATTCTCCGTTTCATGAAACTCCACCTGTCAGGATAAGCCAACGTGTCACAGCCGCAGGGGAGCTGCGCGGAGCCCTCCTCAGAGCACCGACCGATAGGCCGGAAAACAGGGATGGAGGCCAGAAGTGCTCTTTGATCTACCAAAGAAGGCCACCTATGCAGTGGACACTTGTTAAATTAGAAAAAAAAGCTACTCAACCGCCCCTAAATTGCTTTTACAAGAGGCAGCAGAGTTTACACCACACAGGGAAAGAACTCCCGAGAGCCCAGCTCGCAGCCAGCTCCAAGCAGAGGGCACTCGGTCTCCAAACACAGCACTGACGCAGCGGAGACGCCGCCTCGAGGGACCCCGGGCCTGGGTCCACGACCTGCTCGAGGTGCGTCTCCCGCAGCTCACTAGTACGGAAAAAACGGGGCAGAAAACGCAGGAGAAGGTGGTGCTGTGCCTTTTTCTCTGCTGGCCAACTTCCCTTTCCCATCAGGCTGGAATCAGATGGCTGGGGAAGAGGAGTGAGATTGGATCCTCTCCAATCCCCTCGAACTCACCCTTGGCCTCCCTGTTATTATTAAAGTCCTGGACTGGAAATCCTGCCTGTTGGATTCTGTTCCCCGCCTCTGCTAGGGGGCAGCTGCCGTGCTGCAGCTGGTGGGAAAGCCATGGTGAACCAATCCCGGGGTATCTGCTACCCGAAACGCACAGCACGTTTCTTACAACAGTAAAACCAGAGCTACACACCTGCAGTGATCCATCCAGCACAGCCTGAGCCTTCTCACCCAGGACAACGTAGGCTACCGCTTGGTCGTTAGCCGTGATGTACAGGTCTTCATCCAGAACCTTGTCCAGCACCAGCTTCCTGAAGAGCCTCTCGACATTGTGCCTCGAGTAGGCAGCTCCCTTCCCGAAGATTCCGGACTGAATCTTGGCACTCTTTGAACCTGCGCAACAGAAATCCCAGGAGCGGCCCGCAGTCAGGAGGCCTGCGGACGTGTACGTGTACTTACAGACCAGAGGAAGAATCTCAAGGGGATTCCATACTCTCTGCACATAAAAATGCAGGTAAGGACCAGAAACCCCAAGCACCCCCCGAAATCTAATGTCGCTATAGCAACCTGCAACGGATTAAAGCGTCAGCCTCAAGTATTTTGGAACATGTACCTCCCAGAGATTCCTGGGAAGAACGATTTCACAAGATGTATCTGGCCTGAAACCGCGGCAGCACGGTGCAGACCCCGGCCCCGTCGGGCGAGGGGCTCCCCGCAGGCGGGCAGCACTTACCCAGGAAAATGTCTACCATCATGTTCAAGGTGTATCTGCCAGCGCTCAGGTTTCTCTTGGCGTGTGCTCTGCCCCTCTGCCCACAGTGCTCTCCTACGAATCCTATAATGCTCTTCACGTCGTCCGTCACGTTCCTTGACTTGTAGTCCTGTCCAGACAGGCTCGGTCAGGGAACAACGCCACGTGGGCCTGGCCTAACGCAAGCGGCTACCGGCAGCCTTGGGGTTAACTCCCGAGCTTTTCCCAGTCACCAACTCGTGTTGTCCCAAACACAGAAACAGCTGTTTCCCCGCTGGTACATCCACAGTGATACAGAACAGGGCCGGGGTTTGACAACAGCCCGACAACCCCCGGAACACACGCCAGCTGACTGCACAGCACCTCTGCCGCGTCACCTTCGGAGCGCGACGTGCAGATGCCACGCAGGCACCGGTAACCAAGGCCAACCAGCGGGAGGGCACTCCCAGGGCTACTCTGTGGCCAGGCACTGGAGCTCAGCTTCCAACACACACCGAGAACGAGAAGATTGGGCTGAACCCACCCTTGTTAGTGGATTTGTTACGGCCAGAGCTGCGTCAGCTAACGCTTTGACCGCAGGACTGAGAAGCCGTATGGCCAGGTGTAAAACCCAGCTGGGCTGCGGGGCACAGTAACCCCTCCCCGCCTGGTTCAGCGTCACTTCTTCTACCCCTGGTGATGCCACTAACAAGCTTGCTTCAAACCTGATGCTCAGACCCTCGCTTGGGCCGCCTCGAGCGGTGCACACCTCCTAAGGAGCCGCCCGCGCCGGCCTGGCCGCACAGAGCTGCCTTGGAAACCCCTGGAGGCCGTTACGGGATTTCCCCACCCCCCCTCCTCTAAGCACTGCAGCCAAAGCAATCAACACTCAGAGCCATCCTGATGCTAGTCCTCCGACAGAAACAGGAGTGTCCTGTCCACGTGTAACCCCCCCGGGAATAAAGCTCAAAGCATCCCGCATCGCAGAAACAGAAGACACCGTAGGCACTTTCTCCATCTGCTTTCCCAAGGGTCACATAACCATCACTTAATGCAGCTAAATGCAAAACCAGTTTAAGTGTAAATAAAACGCTGGTTTTCACCTTCTTTCTGCTGCAGTTATCGCAGGTGACTTCCGGGTGATCTTTACAGAAGGTGGGGTTGAAGTTGGTTTCCCCAAAGTAGGCCAAAAGCTGAATTCTCCGGCAGTCCACGACGTTCTCGCAGTAGTGAACCATGCTGTACAGGTTGTTGAAGTGGGTCTGCCGCGTGTGACTGTTCCCGTCCTTCTCCACTGCAACGCCATGAATTCAGCCGTGGGTGTTCAGCCTCCCCCCTGCCCGCGGAGCTGCGGTCGGGCAGACACCCCACGCCCCCTCCTGCTAAGGCCGACGCAGCAGGCTAGTACAGAACCAACCCGGGACACATCTGACCTCTGGAGTTTTAAGGAACGGAGCAGGGAAAGATGACCAGAATGACTGGATATGAAAACGTTTTTGACTAGAACTAAGCAAGAGAAACGTTTTGTCACAGAAACCATTGCGGTGACGGAAACGCAGACGCACAGTGCCCCCGTCCCGGCAGCGCCAGGCTACACTCGGCACGTCCGCATGCAAAACGCCGCGCTCTGAGCGGAACAGGGACCGGTGCCCAAGTCACCTCTCGGGTACCGTCTCCCTGGGTGGCAAACATGGGCACTCACTCAGTATCAGCCTCCTCAGCCTGGTGACGTCACTGTAGCTGTAGAAGAGCAGACAGTGAGACATTTCGCCGTCTCGCCCAGCTCTGCCAGACTCCTGGTAGTAGCCTTCCACGGATTTAGGGAGAGAAGCGTGGATAACGTAGCGCACGTCAGGTTTATCAATTCCCATTCCAAAGGCAATCGTTGCGCATATAACCTGGGAAGGAAACAACCACCGGTTACGCAGAGCCAAGAGTCACCCGCGCAGCACCCTGCACCCAGACCAGGCAGTGGGGAGCACTGCACAGAGCCCCGAGTTCCAGCCGTAACCCTGCAAGATGAGCAGGAAACAGCCAACGGCCCTCTCCTTCCAGACAGCGGGAAGCCTGCAAGCTTGAGCCTCCACACACAGTTCAGCAGCGTGCCTAGAGCTGCCTTTCCCCCAGCTCCTTTTCTTTCACCTGGCATCCCTCTTGATTAATCCACTTCTTTTGCACGAGATCTCTGTTGGCGTCGGTGAGGCCGGCATGGTAGGCCAGAGCAGCAAGGCCTTCCTTCTGCAGAACGGCCGCTGTCGTGTCACATTCGTGGCGTGAAAGGCAGTAAATTATCCCAGAGTCATCTGCAAATGTACAAAAAAGGGTCTGTGCCAGCACACAGCTTTACTCCCTTTCCCTCGTTAACCAGTCAGACCTGTCAATCCGCTCACTGCACGGCAGCCGTGGCACAGGGAGAAAGAACAGCAATTTTATTCCTGTCAGATCCTTTTGCTAGTGCCTCCTCACCCAACTTCCTGCTTTTCTGGTGAGGTGGAACCAAGACAAGTATTCCTGCTCAGCACTGGGCAGTCGGGGCTTCCAGCACACGAATAAAGGAGTAGATAAACCAAGGGCTAGCGCAGCTTAAGCCCACGGGTTAGAGTGCTGGAGGAGCTGCGGAGGCAGCTCGGCGTAGCCAGCTTCCGGCAGCAGGAGCTGCAGGACCCCAGAAGCAAGCCCGTAAAGATGGGAATCTCTGAAGAGATCTCCAAGGGCAAGCACAGATAAGCAGAGCAACCGAATTAAATTAAAGCAGTGCAGGTTCCAGGTGACCTTTATGCTCCCAAGACACGGCGCTAGGCCTGGCAGCCTCCAGGAAGATCGCTCAAGGGCATTACCCCAAGGCACCTCTCCATCTTAACTTGGCCTCTTACCTCCACGGTGCCCAGAACCCCAACTCCTGTTATCAGTATCATTTGGCCTCCAACTTGTTTTCCTCATAAATCTGCCAGCCATCACAGAGAGGCGCAGGTGCGGGGGGTTTACAGCGCGCTAAAAGCCTTTCCTGCCTTAAGGGGATTCACAGAAAGGCAGGCAGCCTGTGCTGCTCAGCACTCACGCGGATGGTACTTCTTAATCCATTCCAAGCAATCCAGCGCCACCTTCTTGGGCTTCTTGGGCAACACGTCGTATTTCAAGTTATGCCTGTTGAAGCTCATGGTGAACCTGGAACAGGACAGGTCACGGGTGCTCGTCAGCTCTGTGGGTGCAGTAACCCCGCCAGCAAGCCAGGCGCCGCCCCAAAGTCAGCTAACTGCTACGCGTCCTGCGCTACCTGCAGAGGAACCACCGTCCCAAAATACAACTCGCACCTTTTGTCAGCGACACAGAAAACTTCACATCCAGAGGGACCTGGACAGGCTGGAGAGGTGGGACTGTGCCAACCTCAGGGAGTTCAACCAGGCCAAGGGCAAGGTCCTGCACCTGGGTTGGGGCAATCCCAGCACAAGGACAATCTGGGTGGGGAATGGATGGGGAACAGCCCTG